GCAAGGCAACAATGTGCAGGGTGAGGTTTTGCATATTTGGGAACAATAGAGGTGTTTTTTTTGGTACGGGGAGTGAGCAAATTTCTTATATTTCTAAAAGGGTTTGCAGACTTTGAATAAAGCTAAATAGATTAATTGTAAGATGACCCCCTTTTCTTCCAACAGATGTCAAAGAACGTTTAAGGTAAATATCAATCACAGAGCAGGAGCAGGTATGGCCGGGCATTTTCTTGGCTATAATTGATACCACACTAGTACTTACTTTGACACAAACAGTGAGCAGATCAATTCCAGTAGCCTAGTCAATATTTTTACGATGGAGCCCAAATATTAGGTGGAGGATTTTACTCTACAGTCTCCATCAGAGATAAGTAGAAAGAGAGGAAGTTCCCATAAAGAAGGCCAGCAGCCCTGAGCTTTACTGCTTTGAGCCATAGATATCCATAATAAAGGCTAGATGTCTTACGGCGGAGTCTCAAACGTCATCACCGGCGGCCATCTTGCCTCAGGCAGGCTTTCTGGTTTGCTCTGTGGTACCTAATGTAAGGTGAGTGATCAGCACGAACACAAATACTTTTATCTCATTGAATTCTTGACGGATTTACAAACAGTTTGGTTTCTTACAAACATTATGAACGTGGCTATTATTCTTGATGCTTGAACATGTCGAAATTGCAGATTTTCTTGTCGAAAAATGACTTAATCGTGCAGCATAGTTGTGCATCACGGCTACTTGCGCAAGTTATCAAGGCTGAGACTATTGGTCAATCATATAGGTTTTACTGACACCAATAACAATTGTATGACAATTAATCTTTGGTGTAAATTACAATCTTTGTGGATGTGGTTGTAGTTATTAGTTGGCTAATAATAATCTGAGTGTTGTTGTATTTTCATTATTAGCCTAACGTTAGCTGGCTAATAACAAGAAGCTGCAAAGTGAGACCTAACGTTAGTAAGTTAGCAGCTAACGTTACAGTTTAGCTAGCTGCTAACGTTAACCAGCAACTTTACATCAGTGGAAGAGGCAAAATTGCATATGATTTCCAATCGATTTGGTTTGTCAAAACATCTTACATTATGTTACAGGAATTTGCTGGGTTTATTAAAAGGAAGATGCCAGACTTTTGCTATGACATAATAGTATTACAAGATTTTTGTTGACTCAAAGCTTTTATAAGTTTGTATTAGTTTCATTTGGACAACTTTTTATAAGTAGTTTAGTGTGGTTGTGTTATTCTCAAGTGCATACATACATACAATTACCCCAAACAAATTTCATTTAGGTGTGTATTTTTGTGCTTATCCTTAATGTTAAAAGAACGAAAAAGGGTTGGAAATGTGACAATAATTTATACATCTGGGAACATTTCTCACATTTTTAAGGTTTCCCAAAAACGGAGAGATGAGGAGGCTGTGGGAACTTGCCCTAAGAAGGGACGGTTTTGTTGCAAATGACAGGCGTCTTCACTGCACTTCAGGAGTGAGGATTTTGACCGTACAGAGCAGACTGTCAGACTTAAAGATGGTGTTGTGCCAAACATTTTAAACTTTCCAGCTCATCTTCAAAGGGCATGTGTATCATTGAAATTTAATCACATATTGATATATCAATCTTATACACTGTGAATTGTTGTTGGTCACTTTTGTTTTTGTTTCTGCAGGTTATATAATGTGTAAGCAGGAGGAGAAGATCTTCCATCCCCATTTGCTGACATTCCTGCGCTAGTACATGACCACAGCTACCTTCCTGTCCGCTTTGATGGCCTTGTGGACAACGCTCTCTTGTACATTACACAGAAGCTCAATAAAACCTTCCTTTTCAAAGGGAATTAGCCAAGCTATGTTTTTTGGGTCATTTTTTAAATCTCTGTCTTCCATGTGTATACCATCACAGTAGTGTAGGTGGGGATTTCAACATGCTACCTCTATATATACTTGTGAAGGGGACTATTGTACCAATTTTAATAGCAAATAAATGTCACTTTTATAATGGTTTAAAAATAGGAACTTTTGTGTAATTACCCCTGATATATAATCCAAATAGTCTAGATGAAACTTCAAAGTGTTACCTTTAATTTGAAACCTGGATTATGCTTCTACACCAAGAGGTTGCCACACAATAAGCCTTTTTTGTCAGTATTTCATATTTTATTATAACAATAATATTCATATTATAAAAGTATGTATGTAAATATAAATAAATTAGGACTGTGAAATAATTAATCACACCCAAATAAAAGTGTTATATATATATATATATATATATATCTATATAGATCTATATATATATAGATATATAGATATATATATATATATAGATCTATATATAAAGATATATATTTATATATATCTATATATATCTATACATAGATATCTATCTATCTATATAGATAGATAGCTATATATAGATAGATATCTATATAAATATCTATATATATCTATAAAGATATCTATATATAGATATCTATATAGATAGATATCTATCTATATCTATATAGATAGATATATATATAGATATCTATATAGATATAGATCTATATAGATATCTATATATAGATATATATATATCTATATATATATATCTATAGATCTATATCTATATAGATATCTATATATATATCTATCTATATAGATAGATATCTATATAGATAGATAGATATCTATATATAGATATCTATATAGATATATATAGATATATAGATTCTGTGTGGTCGCTTCCTCCTACCATCAAATGTGCTTCTAATGGGCTCTGTCAATAAATATTTAATAATAAACAAAGATTTTATATTTTGTGAGTCATTGAAACAAAATAAATGCTAACTCATTTGTTCTAGACTAGACTTTTATGCCTTTTTTTGGATAAATAAAAAATATATATTTTACCAAATGTATGGGGTTTTAGTAAGGTACATATTTTGTTTTTATCTGCCCTTGTTTGAAGACACTAAATCTAGTGTCATGTGTTTCTACTTAAATATTTTAAAGTTTTTTTTCCATTTTGACTTGCTAAAAGCTTAATCGTCTACTGGGAAATGAATAGAGATTATTCTCATTTTATTTGTATTGGTAGTTTTTGTGAATTTCAAACAAAAAAATGAGAAATATTGAAAGATTTTGCCTCCTTTATTCAACAGTGGTCAATGTTCAAATTAAATGCCAATGTTGTACTAGTACAAATACTTTAATAAGACAGTAGCAACATTTGTAGTACAACAATTCTTGTAAAGTGTATCCTACCATAATATTTGCAGTCAAAGTCATAGAGAAAGAGACAAAGTAGAAGAGAACATAGTGCACAACATGCATAAAAATCTATGAGGGGCCGTTTAGGACAGAAACTATTTTTCCTCTCACGTACACCAATAAAACCATGCACACACCTCAGTAGACACACACACACACTCAACAAAAATATGTTTTCCTCTCAAACACATTACTATGACATGCACACATCACAGTAGAAACACTCACACACTCTCAAAAAAACTATGTTTTCCTCTCAAACACACTACTATGACATGCACACATCACAGTAAAAACAGTCACACACAATCACAAAACTAAAATTTAATATATGTCTAATGTGTGTGTGTGTGCACTAATACTAGACTGTATGAGAGGGCATAAGTGTATGTGTGTGTGAACTAATACTAGACTGAATAAGAGGCTATACGTGTGTGTGGGTGTGAACTAATACTAGACTGAATGAGAGGCTATACATATGTGTGTGTGTGTGTGTGTGTGCGCGCGCGCGCATGTGTGTATGTGACTGATATCGTAGCAGACTGAATGAGAGGCTATACATATGTGTGTTTGTGTGTGTGTGCGCGCGCGCGCATGTGTGTATGTGACTGATATCGTAGCAGACTGAATGAGAGGCTTGTACTTGTGTGTGAGAGAGTTCAACCTGTCACGATATCAGTCACATACACACATGCGCGCGCGCGCACACACACACACAAACACACATTGGTATAGCCTCTCATTCAGTCTGCTACGACATCAGTCACATACACACACGCGCGCGCGCGCACACACACACATTGGTATAGCCTCTCATTCAGTCTGCTACATCAGTCACGTACACACACGCGCGCGCGCGCACACACACACATATGTATAGCCTCTCATTCAGTCTAGTATTAGTTCACACCCACACACACGTACAGCCTCTTATTCAGTCTAGTATTAGTTCACACACACACACACACACACACAAACACACATTGGTATAGCCTCTCATTCAGTCTGCTACGACATCAGTCACATACACACACGCGCGCGCGCACACACACACACACATATGTATAGCCTCTCATTCAGTCTAGTATTAGTTCACACCCACACACACGTACAGCCTCTTATTCAGTCTAGTATTAGTTCACACACACACACACACACACACACAAACACACATTGGTATAGCCTCTCATTCAGTCTGCTACGACATCAGTCACATACACACACGCGCGCGCGCACACACATACACACACACACACACAAACACACATTGGTATAGCCTCTCATTCAGTCTGCTACATCAGTCACATACACACACGCGCGCGCGCGCACACACACACACACATATGTATAGCCTCTCATTCAGTCTAGTATTAGTTCACACCCACACACACGTATAGCCTCTTATTCAGTCTAGTATTAGTTCACACACACACACACTTATGCCCTCTCATACAGTCTAGTATTAGTGCACACACACACATTAGACATATATTCAATTTTAGTTTTGTGATTGTGTGTGACTGTTTTTACTGTGATGTGTGCATGTCATAGTAGTGTGTTTGAGAGGAAAACAGTTTTTTTGAGAGTGTGTGAGTGTTTCTACTGTGATGTGTGCATGTCATAGTAATGTGTTTGAGAGGAAAACATATTTTTGTTGAGTGTGTGTGTGTGTCTACTGAGGTGTGTGCATGGTTTTATTGGTGTACGTGAGAGGAAAAATAGTTTCTGTCCTAAACGGCCCCTCATAAAAATCAGTTAAATAGTACAAAGAATTATATAGATGATACACTCCTAAATGCCTTATGGACACACAACCCAACCTGCCATAAATACTTATTTAATAAAACCATCCAGATGCATTGTTTTTATTTACACTGTATCCATCCATCTTCTTCTGCTAATCAGGGGTCGGGTCGCGGGGTAGCAGCTTCAGAAGGGAATCCCATTTACACAATATATTTCAGAAACAAAAACCCAAAACCTCAACATAAATATTAACTATCTAGGATTTCATCTGGTCTTCTGAATCCAAAGATTTTGAAATCCCATTTATAAAGGTTGTACAACATCCTCCTGTCCTCCAGAGGCACCGTTTTAAACCATTCCTTGATGAAATCAGATGTAGTTGCATTTTTAGTGGGCGGAAACTGAATTTTGTTTTCCACCTCTAACATTTTAAGAAGCTCTCCAGCATCTTCCTCAAGTGTCTCCTGGTGACCAATAAAATCATACCTGTAAAAAAACAAACACAGTTTCTAAAGTTATTTGTTTCAACATATATATATATATTTAAATATATATATATATATGTATATATATGTATATATATATTTTTTTACAAATGTTTCTTTCACTTTCAGAAAGAAAAAGATTCTTACTCTAACATGCAGGGGTGACACGGGTGGTGCATTTGTCTCCAGTGCTCGTTAAAGGGGCCATATCTTTCTGTTCGTGGGTCCAACAAGTACTGAACAAAGTTGTAAAATGTTGGTTGCAATCCTAAAGCTATTGCCTCTCTCTGTGTCTTGGGAGGATCAGACTGGTTACGGTACAGTCTCACCATTGTCTTTCCATAAATGCTATAAAAGGGCTCATCAATGCTTTGGAACTTTTGTCGGAAGGCAGAGATAAGGCGAACAAATGGGTCCCGAACGAAGAGGAACTTTGTGTAAGTCCTCAGCCTGATCTGTAGAAAAAACAAAAAACAAACTAGACCTTAGTTTCAAAATATAAATTTTAATATCAAACAGAGAAAGATTAATAAAAAAAAAATGTGTAGTAAGCACACATTACAATTAATAATGTTTTCACCATCTGCATCTACTGGCCAAAGCAATCTTTGTTTTAACTGTCCCGACTTGAAAACGGCCATCAATGTTTTTTTTCTTCTCTATTTTGGACCTGTCTATTGTAATACTCTTAATAATATTGCTTCTCTGTCTTCTCGAAGTATCTGTAGCGTTACAGAACACAGGTGAGTGAACACATCACCCCTGCCTTATCTCTTTTTCACTGGTTTCCTGTCCATTTTAGAACTCAACTTAAAACTTTTGTTTTGTTATTTGTTTTGAAAGCTGTTAATGTTCGGCCTCTTTTATTAGATGTCCTTGTACCTTCTACTTAAGCATTGGGTTTACTGAGTATTCTTAAATTTTGCAAATAATCTGTGGATTAGACTTCCTTTAGACCATGGTCTGCAACCTTTCATATCCAAAGAACCATTTTGATGATGAGGCAGGATGAAGCATATATTTTCTTCTGTAGGATATTATTTGATGTAAAAGAATGTATAAGAAAACTAATCTTTTCTCTGTTGGACTTTTGAGACAAATCATGCTACTACCTCACTAATAATTACTATTTACTATTGGTATTACTGCTATGGCAGAGATAGCTTTGGTCTTTTTTATTTCTGCTTATTATACTATCCATATATTTATCCACATAAAAGTATTACCCATGCTTTTGGTGAGTATTTGTATGGCATTAAGGAAATTGGCAATTGAGAAAAGATATAAAATTACAGTTGTATTTTATTATTGCAAGATTTGATACCTTAAATTTGACCATTACATAAACATATTTACTTACTTCCCTTTCTTCTGGACTGAAGTCTGTCAGATAGTCCAGTGCTTTTGTTTGATGTACACTATTGCGATGAACAGATAGAGGATCGATGTAAGGCTCGCCCTTTTTCAAGACATACATGATCCTTTTCCAGTTTGTGCAGGCAACCTGTGCTTAAAACAATGTTAAATTAACAGTGAACATCACAGAAATTAAACCAGCCTGCCTTGGTAAGGCTGTTTCACTGGCAAAAAAACTATTTCTGTTTGCTGATGGAATTCCAAAGAGAGGGGCCACATCGGGAAGAACAGACTACATGCCTAAATGTACTTCACTCTTCAACCCCTGCTCAAGATAAGTTGTCCTGAACTCATATTCAGAAATAAATTACTGATAAACAGACTCTGTGACTTAGTCTATAAGAGTAACTGTAAAGTGCCAGACTTGGGAATTCATATGGAATTCAAAAACACAAAGGACAAAAGCCTATCGGCTAGGCCATCCAGACAAAAACGTATCAAACAAAATAGCCTGTGTTAAACTTTCTTAAAGTCTGAGAAGCCTAATTTTTTTTCCAAAACAGATCAAAAAAAGTTTATAGTTCTGGTAAACTTAGGGAAAGAGTTTCCCGCTGAACAATTGTTTTTCTGATTTCCACAGTGTTTACTGTTGTGTAAAGAGTGCTAATCTTTTTAAGGTGTGACCAGGGGCGGATCTAGATTGAGGGCCAGGGGTGGCCATGCCCACTCTTAGCCAATCATTGGCCACCCCTACCATTGTTTCTCCCCTAATAATCAAGTGGAATATTCCAAACATTTTAGTTAATCATATATTACTTACTATTTTTCATATATTCATATTACTTGATAACAAAAACACTGTGGTTAATTATTCAGATCAATATATTAACATTAAAGATGATAAGTACAGAATTGCTGCTCTTTTCAGAACTAGATTTTGTGTTATATGGGGTAAAGAGAAAATGATGTGTCTCTGCAACATCTAGGAGTCTTTAGTAAATTCATAGATAAATAAATAATTCTATAAAAACGTATTAAATAATCAGTTTATATAGATATAAGTACTTGTAAATATCAATTTTATGCAGGATGATAGTTAAGTAATGACAATGGAAAAGATGTTCACCCCAGAACTCAAACCTGAAAGAATTTTATCCACTTTACCTTTTATCTAAAAAGCATGGATTTTTAAATATATGCATGTTTTTTTTAGCAAAGGCTGTAGGAAAGTATAGTTTATCTTTATTTAGGAAATATGGATGTTTTGCTCATTAATTTTCCTGTTGCAACAGTGTAGATTGACCTTGAGGTTCTGGTGCCAATCCACTTTTGCCCACCCCTCAGTGTACATTGGTTATTGCCTGGCCACCCTAAAAAAAAATTTCACCATAAGGCACTGGTTCCCAAAGAGTTTATCTCCCAAGGAGTTTTTAAAATGGATTTTGCTATAAGTTAAGCAACAATCTTCTTTAAATCACAAAACCATAACTTTCAAAGTTTATTCATTTTTAAGGTGATATTTCCATTGGGGCCACACTAGGTCACTTTGTCGAATTAAGATAAAATTAAATGTCAAAATTAATGGATTAAACAAGTTTAAAAAATTAGCTGAAAATGAAAAGAAACTGTACAATAACACAGGTGTATTTGGGTGGATGTTACCTTTGGAATATAACAGTAGAGGATTTTGCGGCTGTCGTCCACAATGAAGTTCTCAAAGTTTTTTCCAGTTGTAAGTATCTTTCCATAAAGAGTCTCTTTGCCAAGCTCACACATCTTTCTTCTTAGCTCTTTTCGTTGTGCTTGTCTTAATGTCACATTCTTTTCTGTTATGGACATGGAAATTTTTCAGAACAGACAGGTTCATCTTGTTTAATCAAACAGATCAGAGCCCCGGCACCAGGCCAGTTGTCAGCCTTTGTTGGGCCAAGAACAAGACAATTGGAACCAAACCCATGACAAAATCCTTTTTTTGTGGATTGCCTATTTCCCAACTCAACCTTATGTATTATCTTAGCCTATAGTAAATTATTATGTATCATTAAAAAACTATCTACACTAAAGTATTTACTAATTAATCATTCACATTCACTGTAATTGGTAAAGTCATACCCAAAAATGAAAAATTATTATTATTATTTTTTTTTTTTGTCATGTGCCAAAGTACATATTAAAAGTCTGCTGCAGACAACTGCACAAATCCAAATTCATATCATTGGGTTTTCCATAACTATAATGGTTTTTAATTCTAAAGCAAGAGATAAAATTTAATTATGTTGAACTTGGCACATGGAAATGTGGTAAAGTCAAGTGTTAAATAATAACGAATAATAGAAATGAAACAAATATTTTTCTAACCGTTCATTTAATTAGTTTCTAAATATTCTAATTATGTAATGCATGTAAAATTACATTGGGATTTCTACATTTAAACATAAAAATATTGGCCCTTTTTAATAAATATTTAGATAGACCAAAAGACTGCCAGGAAGATAGACAATCAAAGAAGAAAAATTAATTTAAAAAAAACAATTTATATTTCTTCACATTTGAAAGAAATAAAAGTGACTGGAAAAGTAGTGGCAAGATCTTCAGTACAAGCAGTATACGAGTTAATCACACTTACTTTAAGCAAAGCGATATGAACCAACACTCTTAAATTAAACATACCTGTATTTTTCTCTGGATCAATGTTGTTAAAGTACAAAACAAGTAAAAAAACAGGTACAAAAACTATTAGAAAAGAGAATGATTTGCATCTCCTCATTTTGTTTACTTGAAAATGTAAACTTATGCAAATGTTGACATATATCAAACAAGGCGAACTCCACCGACTTTTTCCCCCCTATAATACAGGTACTGTTATAACATCAGCAGTTTTATTTCAACAGATCTATGGACCCTCCTACTTTATTTGAATAGACGGGTGTGTTTCAAATCTATTCTGGTCTTACCCTCAACATTTTCAAACTTTGACGTCTGTCAGACATTATTTTTACAATGTACTGCACATTTGTTAAAAATTTAGCTTTTTTTTGTTGAAGCTGCCTGTTTTTTTCCCCCTCCTCTGGTAGGAGAGCTGTTTGTTGTATCAGTATAATAAATGTAAACTGGCAAAAAATGTTTTATTTTTATTTGGGCTAATATTTTTATTTGGGCATTTGGACTATTGCAATAAAATGTAAAACATTTAATAGGTGTGAATACAGTTGAAATATAAAAACATATCATTACAGGTGTGGTAAAATTAGAAACTGCTCTACTGATCAGAAAGATTAAAATAGAGGCATTTTAAAGTTTCCGCCTTCATTTTGAAGTATTATGTTTTTCTCTACTTTTCTTACTATTTTTGAAGCATTTCTAAGTTCAAAAGGGTAATAATAAATGTTTGTCTCACCTTTACATGGTGTGGTTAAAAATCCTCTTATTAAGAGTGTTATGTATTTCTGGGAGCTTGCAGAATTTTTGCTCATGCCCAAATAGCATAGTAGGATTTAAGTGAAGGCCCAGCGCAATTTATTTTCCTTTTGCCAAAAAAAAGTGACAAAGCGAATCAACTAACTTTATCTGGGAAGCAAGGACATATTCTATTTGTCGGTATCTGTGGGAAAAGAAAAAATGCATAAAGTTCACACTATCAAACATAATGCTGGGAGGAGGGGCATGTGCTATGTGTGTCAGGCTATAATTACAACCTGTGTGTTAGCTACCAATACCTTACTCACTGTTATATGTTGCTTTCAAAAACATTTAAAATACAAAGAGGATACTTATTCTGGTGGGGGATGGAGCCTGGCTGCCTGTCACGCCTATAATATGCCTATAATACCCTTCATGCTTTTTAAAGCTCTCCACTATTTTTGACTACCATTAGAGGTAATTTCCACATCTGTCTTAATGAAAAAACTCTCTACAACAATAATTTTAGCATAGCAACTAACAGTTTAAGAAGTGATCACTGCAAATTCTGCTAGTTGCAGTTGGTTGCCAGCTCTGTCTCTACATGGCAGCCACTCTTCTCACTCTCTCTTCTGGACCTCTGTAGATGAAAATGAGATGCTGTCTTTTCTTTCTTGATGGACGGTAAACCCATATGCTGTGCACAGGATTCCCATATTTTTGTAGCTGTTTTCAAGAGGATATGGAGAAAAACTGCCATAGCTGCTGGTCATTATCTATGTACACAGTTATTGTTTTGCAGTCCAAGAAAGAGTTGTAAGAAGAATTGTAAAATGAATTTATTAATCCATTGTTAAAAAAATGCAATTTGAAATGTATTTTAAAACTATTTCTAAATCGATATTTAAGAACCTCTATTCATAAATCTAATTTTACAGACATTTCCTAATCACACATAAAAAAAAATCCTTATTCTATTTCCATTTTCTTGTTAACCTTGCATTTTGAAATTCTTATTGCAGTTGGATTTTCTTTTTGCTTTACCTTCTCCGTTTTTACCTTTCTGTGGCCCTTCTGGTCCATAACCATACCGGAAACCAGTTGAACCAATCACAGTTGCTCCTCAGAAGTACCCAGCTCCCCCATTGGTTATTTTGTCACCAATCTAACCATTGAGACTCACCAATGTGTCTAACTGGTCTCCACTGTGCTCTTGGATCAGATTGGTCATGAAAAAGGTAAATAGAAAGGATAAAATATAAGGAAAATACAACTGAGAAAACGATTGTAAAATGCTGAGTAAAAAAGAAAATAGAAAAGGAATAAGGAATTACGTTTTTATATGAGTTATTAAGAAAGGTATTATGTTCAGATTTAGGAATTGTGGTTTTTAAATGTAATTTGATAAGATTTGAAAAAAACATTTTAAAACTGCAGTATTTAAATAAGAAAAGTCACGTTCAGGGCCGTCACTAGGTTTGAGAGACATGGGTGGCTTAGCCCCTAGGTAAGATATTGCGCGCGCATAGCGCGCGCCGAAATTTTTTCAGTGCACTTTCTAAGGCGCTGTCTATAAATTCATTATTTTAAGAGCAACATACCTGGGAAACACTTCCCTCACTAATGCTACTTCACCAACTAAACTACACCAGTTAAAATGTGCTAAATTACAAAGAGTAAATGGTAGGTGCCATGCATTACTGCATAAATGGAAGAAGGCAAGTGGTTCGCCACTCATCATAATGGAAACCTTCTACAGAAGACAGTTGTCTAACCAACAGACTCCCAACATCTTCATAAACCCTTAACCTGGCCATTCATCTTTCCCCATCTCCCCTGCACCCACAACCTGTCAGGAACCCCTGTCTGCTTTGCAATAACCCTGTTTCTGTGTGTGTGCTTGGTGTGTGTGTGTGACCTGGACTTTGGCATGTCTTTCTCTACACCTGGCACAGAGAGAAACACATATATGTGAGGAACTTAACAATAAATGCAGCATTATCTTTGATAGATTTCTGCTTAATCTAAAGTTTAACCACAAAATACAAGTTGCATAAATGGACAGTAGGCAATAGGCAATAGCATCATTGCAAAGAAGGATATCCTTGAGACTTTTTCACATCAGTCTGACAAAGTTTTAATGCAAATAAAGGAAGTATTTTTAAGTACAATGTATTAATGAAAACACAAAATCAACAGTATATGAAACGTACAACTTAGAACTGTAGTCAACCCAAGGAAGCACTACCATATCACACAGTGTCGCCCTATCAGACTGGTGGCACATAGATATGGGAGAATTATCCTGCCATAATGCAAGAGCACATAACTTCAATTAGAGAAAAGAATTTCATCTTCTTGCACTCAAAACTTATAATGCTCACACTCAAAACATGCGCTCTCTCTCAAATATTTTCTCTTCTCTCAAAAATCTTTGTTTCTTCTCTCAGATTTAAACAGATATTTTCTATATTATCACAGATATTTTTTCCTCTCGCTTGCCTCCATCTCCGCTCTGCACGGGTCTCAGTTACGCTCTGCTTGCGGATTTGTTTTGCTCTCTGACTGCAGTTGGATCGTTGCCTAGCAACCTTTCCAGCCAATAGAACGACAGCCTCGGAAAAGGTGCGCTTGTTTAACCCTACGGAGTGTGCCTGTGCTACTACGCCACTTATAAAGCGTCAGCTGAAACTGCTATTTACAGTAGTTTTGTGGCTGATTGTTGTTTAGAAATAGAAAACCTGGTTTCATTTCTTAGTTTTGCCCTGGATTTTGTAGCGTTTGTGGACGCTACGTCGCTACTTGATCAAAACAATAACGTCGCTACAGGAAAGTTACTTGATAAATAAAGCAGCGACGCTACGGTCAATCTACTTGAAAATGTAGTTAAACTAATAGCTTCGCTACATGTAGCGGCGCTACTGCCCATCACTGCTCCTGTGACAAAACTATTATAATGATGCTAGTAGGCTACAACAACATCGTGTTTTCCCACACCACTGACTTTGTTCACCATGGTAACGTAATTCCTACTGAATCAGACAAGCTATTAGGCCTATATTTTCTCTTTCCTCACTCCAGGTAAAGTGAAGAAAATGTAAACCGCTGACATCAAATGGCAAACTCACCGTATGTATCTGCACGCAACCATAACTTTCCTAATCAAGCTCGATGACTGTGTGGAGATTCAAAGGGCGCGCTGTTGCTTCTTCTTCTTCTTCTCTTCTATTATGGCGGATCACAAGCAACTTTAAGGTGCATACCGCCACCTACTGTCCATGAGTGTGTAGCAGCGTTACTTCACATCTATTAGATTCTATTTTTTTATTTTGTATTCTTAAGATACAAAAACAATGCTTTCCTTAGTTTATGAATATCTGTTATGTTTCCTTCATTTCCTAATATTCCTTTAAGATTCCATTCATGCCCTATACTTCTAACTATTCTCTTTAATTTTTCCCTTTCGTGTTCATATAACTTACAGTTCATCAGTATGTGTTCTACATTTTCTTTTTCACCACATTTCTCACATTTCTCACTATTTTTCCTCCCTATTAAGTAAAGCATGTCATTTAAGTAGGTATGACCTATTCTTAATCTACTAACTATTATTTCTTCTCTTCTGTTTCTTTCATTAATGTTTCGAATTCGAACTGACTTTTGCACTTCATATAATCTTCTTCCTTTCCTATCTTCGTTCCATATTTTTTGCCATTCCTCCATTTCTTTACTTTTAATAAGTGATTTCCCTTCCCCTTTTCCAAAAGGAATTGAAATCGTTATTTCCCCCTCTAAAGCCCTTTTAGCTAATTTATCTGCCTTTTCATTGCCTTTTACTCCTTCATGTGCCGGCACCCAACAAAACCAAACATCAATGCCACCCCTATATAGTCTAAATAAAATATGATGAATTTCTAATACCAAATCTTTTCTATTATTTCCTTCTCCCTTAATACTTTCCACTACTGCTTTAGAGTCTGTGCACACCACCACCCTGATTGGTCGAATCTCCTCCACCCATTGCAAGCCTAATATAACTGCCACCATTTCTGCTGTAAATACCGACAATTGATCTGATATTCTTTTGTGAATACATTTTTTAAACTCTGGGATATATATTCCTATACCCACATAACCTTTTAGATTTTTAGAACCATCTGTATAAATTTTAAGGTAATTATTATATGTAGTTCTTAAATAAATATCAGTTTTTATCCCTATTTCATTTATATTCCAATCATTTTTCATTGTATTGATTTACAAATCTACATTAACCTCAGGTATTAGCCATGGAGGAATAACGCTAATTGGGTTAAATTGAGCTATTTCCTTGTCTTCTAGTCTATACTTTTTAATCCATTTCCTAACCATCCATCCAAATCCATTACTTTGGAACTTCACATATTCCCAACAATTTTGCAGAATAGTTGAATTCACATGATTATCTATATTACTTTTAATTTTCATCCAATATGCTAAAGCTAATTTAATTCTCCTCATTTCAAGTGGAGTTTCCCCACTTTCAATTAATAGAGCATTAATAGGTGTTGTTTTTATTGCTCCTGTACATATTCGTAAAGCCCTACACTGTAATCTTTCTATTTTTTGTAATGATGTTTTAGCTGCTGCTCCATATATAATGCTGCCATAATCTATTATTGCTCTCATTAGAGCCCTGTATATGCTTAATAATGACTGTCTATCTGCCCCCCAATTGTTTCCAGCCACAGCCTTTAATATATTAATAACTTTTTTACATTTGGTTTCTAAGTTATCTATATGTGTTTTCCATGAGTAAGAACTGTCCAACCATAAACCTAGATATTTATATTCTGTTACTCTTTCTAAAGTCTGTCCATATAATGTTATTGTTTCTATATTAATATTTCTCTTCTTTGTGACAACCATATAGCAAGATTTGGTTGCTGATAATTTGAAACCCCATTCATAAGACCATTTTTCAACTTTACTAATTGCTTTTTTTAATATTTTCTACAACATGTTTAATATTTTTCCCTTTCATCCATATGGCCCCATCATCTGCATATAGTGCAGATTTTATACATTTATCAGTTTCATAGAAAATATCATTGATCATAATATTAAATAAAATTTGACTAATTACACTACCTTGTGGTATTCCATTTTCAACATTATATTCATTTGAATAGTCATTCCCAATTTTTACTCTTATTTTTCTATTTAGTAGAAAATTTGCTATCCAATTATACATTCTCCCACCTATTCCCATCTGTTTCATTTTTATAAGTAATCCTTCTTTCCATAGTGAGTCATATGCTTTTTCTATGTCAAAAAATACTATAATCATTATTTCCTTCATTTTTAAAGCTTTCTCTATGTCATTACTGACTCTAGTTAGAGCATCTATTGTTGATCTTCCAGTTCTGAATCCACATTGATATCCATTTATTAGATTATTCTTCTCAAGATAGTATCCTAATCTATTAACCATTATTTTCTCCATCCATTTACTTAAATGGGAAGTAAGAGCAATTGGTCTGTAATTATTTGGATAGGAAGGATCTTTACCTGGCTTATTAAATGGTAAAATTATTGCCCTTTTCCAACTATTTGGTATTGTTCCTTCTTTCCATATTTTATTAAATAATTCTAATATTAATTTCAGTGTTACTTCCGGAATCTGTCGAAACATAGCGTAACATAACTGGTCTTCCCCTGGAGCTGAATACCCTGTCCCTTTCAATACTGTTTTTATTTCTTTCATGGTTATATTCATATCCAATGTTGACATATATTTTTGACATTTTTCTAGTGAGTTTTTATGATTTCCAAGTTTTTGAATCATCTGCCTTCTGTGGGTATTTGTCAAGTGATCACCACTATGAACTGCCGCAAATGTCTCTCCTAATAACTCTGCCTTATCTTTATTTAAAACCAATACCTCCTGTCCTCTGACTAAGGATGGAATATTGACATTGTTCTTTTTCCCCGTCATTTTTCTAAACATTGACCACACATTCTGTAAATTAACTTCTGAACCTATTGATGAACAATAGTCTCTCCACGTTTTCTTTTTTGCATCCTTTATAGTTTTCCGAGCTTTTGCTCTTTTCCTTTTATAATCAATAAGGTTTTCGATTGTTAGATTTTTCTGTAGTATTTTAAAAGCTTTATTACGATCTTTAATAGTTTTACTGCATTCATTATTCCACCAAGGAACTACTTTCTTCTGACCTTTCACTTTTATTTTTGGTATGCTGTAATTTGCAGCATTTAGAATATTTTCTACTATTTGATTTGTACACTCTTCAATATTACCTTTTAATGTTACTATATGTCTTGTTTCTTCACATTTTGTTTTAAATTTAAACCAATCAGCTTTATTAAAGCACCATCTTATTAATGTAAACTCTTCTTGTCTATTTATATTATCATTAATTATTGTACTCACTGGAAAGTGATCACTCCCTAGTGTAGATTCCCCATTTACATCCCATTCACATGCACTAACAAGACAGTCAGATACTAATGTAATATCTAGACATGAGATTGAATTTTTATGTATATTTATTCTTGTACCTTTTCCATTATTAAGACAAACTAATGACCTTTCATCCATTAATTCTTCCACTATTTCACCATTATGATCCGTTTTCTTGCTACCCCATAGACTGTTGTGAGCATTAAAATCTCCACACCAAACTTCTCTTCTATGTATTTTCCCTATTTCCTTAAATATTTCATTATCTAGATTTTTACACGGATTATAATAATTAATGATTTTAATATTTCCTTGTTTCCTTAAATTAAATATTTCTATATTTACACATTCTATTTTTTTATTTAATGAGTTTTTCTTGTAAGCAATTCCTTCCTTAATTAAAGTGGCACATCCTCCGCCACTACCATTACTTCTATCCTGTCTTTCTATATTATATCCAGGAATTTTAAAATCCAAGTTTGAGTTTAACCATGTTTCTTGTATACATATTACATCTGGTATTACTTCTAATTCATAAATATACTTTTTAAATTCTTGTCCATTAGCTATTATACTTCTGGCATTCCATTGTAGAATATGAATGACCATCAATAAAGCTTGTATCCTAATCCTGACCATTTTCTGTTATTTCAGTGGCACTCAAAATGGTATGTATTTGATCTGCTTGAATTTCTTTCATATCTAGGAATCTCCCTGCTGCTGTTACTATTTCTTTTATTTTATCACTTTTCTTCTTCATTTGGACTGTAACATTAATAACATGACATATAAATGCTACAAAGTTTTCTTTTTTCACCATCATTGTATTTTCCTCTATTTTACATTTATGTAAACATGTATTATTTGTATTTGTTGTTGGCATTAGTATTTGTCTCTGACCATTCATTCCTTGATTTGTGTTCTGAGAAGTGTAACTTTGATCTGCTTCTCCCAGCCTCATTCCTCTTTTACTATCTTTCTTTATTCTTTTTAATGCTTCTGCGTAAGAAACTCTTTCTGTTATCTTTATTTTCTGGGCTTCTCTAGCTTCCCTTTGAACTATACATCCACCATAGGCTGCACTATGCTCACCACCACAGTTACAGCATTTGATTTTGGCGTCTTTGTCACACTTTCCAAATTCATGTGGTCCTCCACATCTTGCACATCTAATTTTTCCCTTACAATCTTTTGCAATGTGTCCCATTCTTTGGCAGGTAAAACATCTGAGCGGTTTCGGGATGTACTCTCTAACTTTATAGTTCATAAATCCTAGCTGTATATTTTCTGGCATGTTATTTTCAAACTGCAATATCACAGCCATAGTGTCTTTGAGTTCCCCTTCTCTTCTACTTTTAATCCTGGTGGCATTTGTTATTTTCCCTCCTTTGATTTCATTCTTCACCTCCTCCATTGTCATTTCAAGTGGAACTCCTGAGATTACTCCTCTCAACCTTGCCATAAAACCTGGTATATGTGATTTAACTCGTTCTCCCATCAGAGTTTTCATTTTGATTATCTTCTGTTGTTGTGCCTCACTGATAGCTTGAATTATCACTTTTCTGTTGTTCATGATTCTGGCCGTTTTGATTTTCCCTATCTCTTCCTCTATTGCTTTGGTTATCTTTATCGGATGAATATAACCCCTTTCTTGCTGAAATTCCACCACAACTTTGTATTCCACTTCTGTATTACTGTTATCTTGTTCCCGTGAACTCACTCTCTGGTTTATTTTTGTCCTTTTACTTCCTTCCGCTCCTAGCTCACTTTCATCCGACCAACTTCTTGCCCTTTCATGTCTCTTTCTGATTGCTCTTTTCATTCTTGCTGACCTCGATAACATCCACTCCATTTCATTTCCACTACTTCCTCCTGATGTAGAAGCCATGCTACTACAGTCAATGTACAGCTTATGTGATCCGCCAAATTAGCTCCTACCGCCGTCTTTGTTTGTTGAGTTCAATCACCGCCTTCTGTGTCCTTTTCCCCCCCGGCGCGCTGTTGCTGCACTGCACAGCTGCTATGGTCCAGTTGATGGCCGTGTACCACGTGACGTGACGCTGGACGCGGAGCCAATGAAGGAAATGAATATCCTAACGATATTAATAATTGTATAAATAATTGTGTTTGTAAATAAACTAACAGGAACTTATCTTCAGATTAACTTGCCTTCTTGGTGGCTCGTTTTCAGTGCTTTACTGCAATTGTTTGGGGTTATATGGAAAAAAAATCAATAAATAAAAAAATAACAATAAAAATCGCAAAATAATTATGGGGTGGCTAATACCAACGAAGGGATGACTTCAGCCACCCTAAAATAGGTCTAGCCACGTCCCTGGTCACGTTAAAGGTATACTGGAGGATTTTTCATAAATTTTTTAAAAGACTTAACCGCTCCACTTAAAAAAAAAGCACATGCACAACCTTGTACTCGCTCCTGAGAGGGAACGCCTATTAAACGGGTGTAAAGGCATGCGCAAGCCCATTTCTCCTATGTTTAAAAGTTGCTGTTTAGATCACTCATACAAGCCTTCTTTACAAAAGAAGATTTCCAATTTTTCCACTATGTCAGACTCACCACCGGTACGTGAACATGGAGAAATATAGGACGGCCTTACAGTATGTAAACATATCACCAGAATGATTAACAATTAGGAGGACCACTGATTTAGATGATCTGGAAAAAGAACATCCCCCACCATACCTTAAACTAGTCATACCAGACTGCAGGAACTGAGTTTGTATTGTTTGGCAGTTCTAGTGTTAAGCAGCCCACAACATGTTCCATTACAAATGCTAAATGTTTTGGTTATGTATGTTTTTATGGGTGTGAGAACATTTTCATTCTTGGCATTTTCCTGGTTGAACTGGTTTTTATTTGATCTTTATTGGCAAGTTGCCTGTTGTTTTGATCTGGTGTCAGCTGCTCTCATATCTCAGGATTCCTGTCAGAGGGCTTTTATGTGTTGCTGTGGTTTATTTTCAGCCTTTGATCCTGAAAGATTTAAAAATACACCAGTAATTAAGATACCAGTATTTTTTTTCACTGTTTTTTTTTTCCTTCTCACTGTGAAGATATTGAGCATAAAGGAAACCCTCGTTTTCCTTGTGTATCTTCATCCAGGTCAACTGTCATGATGGGATTCAGATTTCTAACCCACATGCAGAACAACTCGGAGACAGATAAAAAGTTCAACTGTTTATTGAAAATAAACACAAGGTTATTTGACAGATGTGGGTAAATGATCCAGGACTTGTCACACAGGACTCTCTGTAGAGAGGGACAGTTTGGTTAGCCAGGATGCAGAGGATCTTTGTCAGAGGTATTGAGCAGGGTTGTACCTGTGACGGGGTTCAGGTGAAGCAGCAGAGGGAGGGAACCAGGAGGGTCCAGAGGCAAGAAGTTGGCAGAGGGCTAAGACACGGGGCAACCGCCCCTAAAACGCCCCCCCCGGCCAAAAGCGCAGCCCCACCCCACCAAGACCGATGCCAACAGCGCGCAACGAAACACACCGCGCACAGAATCCGCCCGAGAGCAGAAAAGCGGGCCGGCGCAAAACCGCAAGAAAAGCAGACCGCAGCCGGCGCAACCACCACCTCCCCCCAGCAGCCCGAGGGGCAGCACAAAGCCAGAGCGGAGCGAACCACGCCGCTCCCCCTCCGGACGAAGCCAAAGCAGCACAGCCACGTCCGCCGCCCCCCACCCCCCCCCCCCCCCCCCCCCCCCGCCGCGGGCGGCCAGAGCAGCTCCGCCGCCCCGGCCCCCCAACACGCGCCGGCCATAGCCACTCCAAGCCCCCACCCGCCCCGCAGCCCCACCCGCCGCGATCAGCGGGAACAGAGCAGCTCCGCCATGCCTCCAAGAGGGAAAACCGACCCGTATACCCAGCCAGCGCAGCCAGCCCGCCCACATCGGCCCCCCAACACCACCCCCACCGAAGCCGCCCGGACCACCACACACCAGCGGCGCGCCGCCAGCAGGACCCTCACCCAGCAGGCCCGCCCGCCCCCCGAGAAAACAGACATGCCAAAACCCCCACAAAAAAAAAAAAAAAAAGGAGCCCCCACAATGCGACAGCGGACACCAGACACCGACCCGCCCGCAACCGCTCCCCCCCACCGAGGAAGAGAAAAAAAAAGAAAGAAAGAAAAAAACATAAATAAATAAATAAAAAATAAATAAATAGGTAAATAAATTAATTAATTAATACATTTATAATTACAATTAAAATAAATATGCAAGAGGAGAAGTGCGAGCGGATAAACCGCGGCCCAAAACAGGACCCAAGACCCGCACCCCACTATGCCGTGCAGCTCCCCCCCCCCCCCCCCGAACCGATACCACAGAACCGGCATAGGAAAAAAAAACACCGCCCAGGAACCGGCATCGTAGCGAAGGCACCGGCACCGACACCGAAAATCCCCAAACAACAGCCAGCCCCACCCCGAAGCGGATCCAGTCCCAGGCCCCAGGGATCCGAGGCCCCAAGGGAAGACCCAAAGCGCTTCCAAGATCTTCTTCCCACTATCACCACCCCCCACCCCCCCTCCGGAGATGTAATCCCTCCCCTACAATAACAATCAAGCTACTCACCACACAAGCGACAGAAGACATCCAGGCCGAGATCATACCTACTCCCCCTCCCACCCCATCCCCCACATACAGAGTGCAAACCCGTGAGGGGGGAAGCCCATGCCATAGGTGGTAATGTCCATGCCCCCCCCCCCAGCCCAGCAGGCCCCGAGGCACCCCGGCACACCAGAGGCCGTGGCAGCAGGGGCAGACAGCCGGGCGTACACCGGCCCAGAACCCAAGCAGCACTCCCCACAGAACCCGAACCCCCGAAACCCCACCGGGGCCCCCACCAAAGGGCAATGCGCCCCAGGGATCCCAGACCCCAGGACCCACCCCAGACCCACCCAGAAGTAGGGCCAGGCAATGCCCAAAAACCCCCGGCGCCGGCCCCAGCGCCCCCACCCCGACCCCGGCCCCCGAACGACTCCCCCCGACACCAGTCCCACAGCACCAATCCGAAGAAGAAGAAAGCCACACAACACAGCAAAGCGCAAATCCCGAGCCCCACTCCAAGCCCCGACCCCCCCGCCCACACCCCCCCTCCCACAAAAAAAAAAATAAAAATAATAATAATAATAATCTCCCCCTCACTGGAGAAGAACGGCCGCAAACAAGCCAGTGCCCAACACCCACCGCCACACCACGAGGACCCCTCCACCCAGATGCTCCTCCCCAGAAAAGTCAACATGCCTGCCCTCCCAGGAGACAAGCAAGCCCGCCAAACAGGAACCCCCCCGGCAGCGCACCGCCGGCATGCGCGGGCCCGAGCAGCCCCAACAGAAACAACACCGGAAGGCCGACATGGACGAACCGACGGCACCAACCAAGCCCCCAGGCGGACTCCCCCACCCAAAAACACAACGAAACCACCCCGCCCCCACCGACCACAGCAAACACAGCCGCAAGGCAAAGCAAAGGACAGAGCAGCACCACCCGGCGCACGCCAGAGAGCCAGAGCAGCAAGGCCGCCCCAGCCTCCAGAAGCCGGCACAAGCAGCAAAAAGAGAGCAGCAGACGCAACCCCACCACTCCCGCCGCGCCCGGCGCGAAAGCAGCACGACCCACCCCGCTCCGGCCCCGCACCACCCACAGGCCGCCGAGAGGAGGACGGCCACGCCGGCCACGGCCCGTCCCCCCCCCCGCGGCCAAACACCGAGCAACCCTCCACTCCCAAACCGCGCACGATGCACCGCACCACGCGCCACCGGCACCCGCCCCAACAGAGCGAAGCCACACCCCGACCCGGGGGCACTCCAAAGGGACCCCCGACGCCCGCAACCAGCCCACAACAGACACACATGAACCCCGGCCACAGGCGCGACCACCCACGCACCCCCCCGGATGACGCAACCAGGGCAAGCACCACGGCCAACCACCGCAACCCGGCACCGGAAGACGAGGTACGCCCCGACGCCCCGCAGAGCAGAAGCACCCCGGCCAGCACCACAAAAGAACCGATGCCCGGCGCCCAGCCCCACCCAGCAGCAGCACAGCTACCAGGCCAGTAGCCCACGTCCGCCACCACAGAACCCCCCAAGAGCACCGGACGCGGCCACCGCAGGACCCCCCCGCGGCGCCCCAGACCTCGCCCCGACGGGGGCAACAGTCCCCCGGGCCAGACCCGCCAGGCACCCCGCTCCGAGCACCCCCCCGAGCCCCCAGGACCCAAGGACCCCCGAACTAGCCCCCGCGCCCCACAAGACGCACCCCATAGCCCCCCACTACACTAAGTGATGGAGCCGATCAAGGGAGCCCAGAGAGATCGGTCTGATGGGGATGCAGATGCTGTCTCAAGATTAATATGATCCAACAACAGATCTCTGTACTGATTGATGTGGAGTTTATCCTTACTTTTCCAATTCATGAGGATAGTTTTCTTTGCGATACATAATGCAGTGAATGCCAAACAAACCGATTTTTTTCCCATAGAGCTTCCCTCAAAGTCACCCAGCAAGCAAACTGAAGGGGAAATTGGGATTTTACAACCCAGGCACAGTGATAGATCCTTACATACCTGTACCCAGAATCTCTGAACCGGCGTGCATAACCATAACGCGTGAAAATAATTATCAAGTTGATTGCCTGTGCACTGTGGACAGATGTTAGATTGCGCAAAACCCATCTTGAATAATCTTTGACCTGTATAGTGCACTCTGTGGAGGATTTTGTATTGTATTAATTGTAAATTGGGGTTTCTAGTCATGTTAAACGTTCTTAGACATATCTGAGCCCAGATGTTTTGTTCAAAGCTGACTGATAAATCCTCCTCCCATTTAGTAATAGGAAGAGATATTGTATCATCCAGTTTAGTCAGTGTCCTGTATAACTTAGACAGTAGTTTGGGGGGGGTTAACTCTAGAAACTCTGATATTTTAGTTGGAATTATTAAACCTCCATCAATATGCTTAAATTTATGTCTAATTATAGCTTTGATTTGCTCATATTCTAAGAATTTATTTTTGTTAATGCCATATTGCAAGTTTAATCTAGCGAATGTGATAAACTCCGTACCTTCAAACAAATGATCCAGATATGTAATACCTTTATTCTTCCAGTATGGAAAGTTTAACACATTATTGTTTTGTAGAATGTCAGGGTTATTCCAGATGGGTGTACGACTGCACGGGATAAGTGATGACTTCGTTATTTTTAGAAATTCCCACCATGCTGTCAGGGAAGAGCTGATGTTAATATTTTTGAAACATGGGTGCCGTTTGATCTTAGAGCTAATAAACGGCAAATCTGAGATTATTATATTACTGCATATATCCTGTTCTGTGTCTATCCAGGGCTCATCTAAGGGATTATGTTTTATCCATTTAGAGATGTATTGTAATCTATTTGCTAAATAGTAGTGTTGGAAGTTAGGTAAATCTAGTCCCCCTCTGTCTTTAGTTTTCTGTAGTGTTTTTAAGCTGATACGAGGGGGTTTGTCCTTCCAAAGAAATTTAGAGATGGAAGAATCTAGAGATTTAAACCATTCGGTTGATGGTTTATTTGGGATCATTGAAAATAGGTAGTTAATTCTGGGTAAGACCATCATTTTAATTGAGGCTACCCGACCCATAAGGGAGATCGGAAGCGATTTCCATCTTTCTAGGTCCTCTTCTATTTTCTTTAAAAGAGGGATGTGGTTGAGTTTTGGTAACTCAGCTAGTTTAGATGACACAGTAATTCCCAAATATTTGATATTTCCTGATTGCAATTGTAGACCTGAGGGATTTTGTAGAGAGCAATTAATTGATAGTATTACAGATTTAGACCAATTTATGAAAGACTTAATTGTAATATAATGTAAAAATAATGAAAGACTTATTTGTGTTCAGATCCAGAGGTACTCCCGATACTCTTCTTGACGGCGGGCAGGCAGGTTCAGACAGCAGATTCTTCAGATGAGCTCCTGAGAGCCGGCAGGCAGATTTCAGCAGTGAACTCTTCCAGACAGTAGTTTGGGGGGGGGTTAACTCTAACAATTTTTGTTTTGGTTAAAGTGATTCCTTTTTTTAATAATTTTTTTTTTAGAATTTATAACAATTTACATGTGAACATTGTGCTGATGTTAGGGTTAGGCTGATACTTGCGATTAATGTTCGGTTTGTGTAGTATTTGTTGACGTGCGATAATAATAATAATAATATTAGTATTAAGAATAGTATGTATGATGAAAATATCCTAGGAAAGCCCCAATAGCTAATCTAAAAGTGGCCAACTTACAAAAGGTGTGTAAAATATAAATCTTTAACTATTAAATTGTAAGTTTTTATGTCTAATGTCTCTGTTTTAGACTGACAGAAGAGGACAGATGAAGAAGATGGGAGACTGATAGAGAGAAGACTAAATGAGATTGGCGGGAAATACAAACGCTGATGGAAAGAACTATTGAAAAGAAGGGAGAAATCTATTAAGAAGAGTAAAGCAGAGAGCAGGCAGAAGTCAGAAGAGGGCTATAAAGAAAAAAAATCCCAGTAACCAGCTAGACACACTGGATTAATCAGCTTGTCCAGCAATGAAAGACAGGAAACAAAATAGCTGGCTAAGGTTCAGGAAGTATTGAAGCTGTGCGTGGGAATAGCAAGTCCATTTCACAAAAGTTCAAAATTGGTTAAGTATTTAATTTGTTAAACAGAAGCCACCCAGATATTTAATTCAAAATATTCATACTTTAATTAAATTTGTCATTATTTAATTTAATTTTTTCATTATAAAAACAAACAAACAAAAAAACATAACTACTGTACACCACATTAGGAGTTGCTGTACAACTTAAGTCCAATACCGGTATACACCAGAGGGAGATACCTTTAAGTGAGGGCATTTACCTAGAAATAAACCCGCTCTCTCGGTTATATATATATTATAAATATGCTGGGATGTAAGCAGAGGAAATAGTTAAAGAACAATTTTTTTAAATTAGATTTTTCAGAATTGAAAGTAATGAGTTGTGGATGAAGGTAACCAGAGGCTGTACCAGACTAGAACTGGAGGTGTGAGCATCAGCTGCAGTAATCCACAGAGAACAGCGAGAGGTGGAGTGAATGTTGATTAATTGGTGTTTAACAGGTGTGACTAGTTGCTGAGGGAGTGGAAGCTGAGCTGTGTGGGTGGAGGAGGTGCTGGAAAATAACAGGAGGGGAATAGCCAGGCCAAAATGGAACCATGACAACATTATGATGTTTCTCAGAAGGTTTTGGCGGGGCTGATAGATTGCGCAGAGCCCTATGTAATGAGTAGTGATGGTGAGATGAAGCCTCATGAGGCATTGAACCGTTTGGCCAAATTGCTTCAACCATCCCCACAGTTCATGAGGCTTCTTGTGAACATGTCACCACTTACTGGTGGACAGCAGAACTACAGTTTGTAATATAATCTGTGATTTTTTTTGCAATTGTTTTTCGTTTTTTCCCCTTTTAAGTTCCCTTGAAATTGTTAATGGTTGGTGTGTATAATAAAATTTTTATAAGTTTTTTTTTTAAGTGTAAAATTTCTTAGAACAATCATTTAAGATGCACAGTTTTTCTGCCATTTTAGTGAAATAAACTCAAGCAGACAGTGACAGTGTTTGTGCAAATTGGCCAATGATGAACAAAATGAAAGGTGTTAGTCATTTTTATTCAAACATGATAGTTTTTCCATGTTTTTTGGTTTTAATCAGGTTGGAAGTTGTGTTCAACCAATCTTTTTACTAAACCGACCTAATTTTCCCAATCTATATTTTTACTTGGGCAAAACAATGCAAATTAGTCTCATCAGCCAAAATAATTAAGTTTAATCGCAACTTTCAAAAGAGAGAGACAGGTCTTGAACCATCAACCTCTAGCGTGAGAGCCTGTCCCCTACAGAGGATGCCACTCATGTAGATGGTACAAACTGGGAGAAAATACTTCTTAACACTAACGTATTAACACTGGCTTTGTCTGGTGGTTTGCTCAGATTTCGATCATTACATTGTTTATTCCAACCAAATTAGCTTTAAGGAACTAGATTGGTTGGAAAAACAACCAATTTATTCTTAGAATCTATCCAAACTTTATCCAGCTGACAGCAGCTCTCCTCCAATCTCCTGGTAACATTTGATCACATCACACAATGGGTCAGCCAGTCTCATTACATTTATATTGGGATTTATTTAAATTTAGGATTTAATTTACAGAATTATTTTTGTAAGTAAAGGCATAACACTGTATTCTGGAATAAGTGCGCACGAATAAGTGTTTGTTTTTGAGTCACCTCAGTGCCGGCTGCTCCTGTCCTTCAGGAGAACAGAGGTGGAGAAGGGGTGGAGCCAGCCTATTGAAACTGCAAATTGGTTTACACCACTACTCACACTGCATGAAAAGTGGGATTTTCGTCAATATGCGGCACTGTAGATTGTCGTGGAACTTCAGGTTAGCGGCAGTTTACGACAATTTGCAGGCTTTGCCGAAAACTCCCGTAAATTGTCAGAAATTGACGTGGAATTTCTTAGGCAGTGTTCCCCCCATGCCTCCCCCCCATGGAATTCTAGGGGAGGCTTTAACATGTAAATGAACATGCTGTGAGCTAAACAAATGCAAACCAGGGTTGCAGGGGGGGTTTTACCCCAAGTGACATCTTTCAGGGTAAGAAATTCTCTGATACAAAGAGATCAGGCTTAGTATAGCCTCTTACATTTTAGCTTGAATTGATTTATTTAATTAAAGTATAGAGACCAAAACAGATCTTTAGCTGACAGAGCAATACATTTAGAGCAGTAATTATAAAAAAAAAAAAATTGCATTTAAGATAAAAAATAAAATGTTGTCTGTCAATATGCTCAATTCACAATTACTTAAGTGGAAAAGTTTCAAGAAATGAGTCTGAGATGAT